ACAGGGTTCCAAAGGCAACCAAGCAGTTCATCCACAACTCTTCCCAAGTGTCCAGAAAATATCAGTTCTTAGGATGAGCCTTCGCCTTATGCCAAGACAAACACATTTAAAAACAAGACATATTTTGGGAGGCCGAGGCAGGCAGATCACAAGGTCAGGAGTTCGAGACCAGCCTGGCCGATATGGTGAAACCCTGTCTCTACTAAAAATACAAAAATTAGCCGGGCGTTGTGGCACACACCTATAGACCCAGCTACTCAGGAGGCTGAGGCAGGAGAATCGCTTGAACCCGGGAAGTGGAGGTTGCAGAGAGCGGAGATCATGCCATTGCACTTCAGCCTGGGTGACAGAGACTCTGTCTCAAAAAAAAAAATAAAGACATAAATAGTCTGGAGGAAAATAAGGGAGTTTTTTATTGTTGTTGTTAATACTTTTGGAGAGCAAAGCCAGGTGCGGTGGCTCACGCCTATAATCCCAGCACTTTAGAAGGCCAAGGCAGGTGGATCACCAGGTCAGGAGATCGAGACCATCCTGGCTAACACGGTGAAACCCCCATCTCTACTAAAAGTATGAAAAAATTAGCCGAGCGTGGTGGCAGGTGCCTGTACTCCCAGCTACTACAGACTAAGGCAGGAGAATGGTGTGAACCCGGGAGGCGGAGCTTGCAGTGAGCCGAGATCGGGCCACTGCACTCCAGCCTGGGCACGACAGGGAGACTCCGACTCAAAAAACTAAAATAAAATAATTTTGGAGAACAGAACATCTTTCTATTTAAAACAAAACTAAGAAACCACAAGAGATTAGACTGAAAACTCCATAAAAATCAAAACTCTGGCAAGAACTACACAGAAGCAAACAGGGTAACTACAGCTTTGTCACAAGACCTGTTTTTACATTAAATATATAAAGAACTCCTTCAAATCTATAAGGAAAGAAAATCAAACAACCCAAGAGAACATTAGGCAAAAGTTATAAATAAGTCACTGAAAAGGAAATCCAAATGGCTCCAAAAACAGGAAAACACGCTTTCTATCTCAATTGAAAGCCAAATAAACATTAAAATTACTACCAGATACAATTTTTCACCTACCAGATTAACAAAGATTGAAAAATCTAACCTATTAAAAATAAATATGCGGCTGGGCACGGTGGCTCAAGCCTGTAATCCCACCACTTTGGGAGGCCAAGATGGGCGGATCACAAGGTCAGGAGATCGAGACCATCCTGGCTAACACGGTGAAACTCCGTCTCTATTAAAATACAAAAAAAATTAGCCGGGCGAGGTGGCGGGCGCCTGTACTCCCAGCTACTCGGGAGGCTGAGGCAGGAGAATGGCGTGAACCCGGGAGGCGGGGGAATCGAGACCCATCCTGGCTTAACACGGTGAAACTCGTCTCTAATTAAAATAGGCAAAAAAAGATTGCCGCGGGCAAAGAGAGTGGCGGGCCCGCCTGTACTCCCCCAGCTACTCGCGAGGACTGAGGCAGGAGAAATGGCGCTGAAGCCCGGGAGGCCGGGGCTTGGCAGTGCAGCTGAGATCGCGCAGCCCACTGCACTCGCAGCCGCTGGGCCAACAGAGGCCAGAGCTGCGTCTCAAAAAAAAAAAAAAATGCTGCCTTATCAGCGCTTAGGTCGCAACCATCGCTACTTCCAGGGATTGGTAACCATTACAAGAATTCTGCGACGTTTGGGAGGCGCGAGGTGGGCCAGGCATCACAAAGCGCAGGGGATTGAGACGGCATGCCGGCTAACACTCGTGAAACCCCATCTTTACTGAAAGAAAAAAAAAAAAAAATTAGCCAGGGCGGGGGGCATGGTGGCAGGCACCTGTAGTCCCAGGCTACTAGGGAGGCCTGAGGGGCAGGGCAAGAATGCCGTGAACCCAGAGGCCAGAGGCTTGCAGTGAGCCGAGAAGCGGCGCCCACACTGCACTCCAGGGCCTGGGCGAAGCAAAGTGAGAACCTGCCTTTTAAAAAAAAAAAAATTACAAGAATTGCTGGGCAAAATGACAATAGCAATGGAAGGAACGTTTGCCTGTTTCGTATTAGCAAGACTGAAAAACAAGTTTTACGTCCATCCAAGGAGAGCGAG